AAAAAATAACATTTGGTGTCGTAGTCTAGATTACATAGAGCGGGAACGAGGGGGAAATGAGAGTGGGAGCGCAAAAACGAAATTTTGAAAACAAAAAATTAAAAAAAATAGTTTTTTTTAACATTTGCTCACAAAATTATTTATCTGTCTATTGTTTACAATCAAAAATTTTATGGTAATAAGAACCAATATTTTTTTGAATTTTTAGCAAATCACTGACTAATTTTTGCGAGAATTTAAACAAGTACAAGGAACACCTCACTTACGTCAGAAGATTCATCTTTACTACACAAAATCAATCTTCACCACCACCACCACCCAAACCTTACTCAATTGCAATTAACAACACACATATACGATCACACCTAAAATATCTTCGATCAAAGTATTTACTCAAAATTTATAAATTTCGGTATCATACCTTCCTCGATAGCAAACGTCGAATCCTTAAATTAAGGTGGTCTAAAGTTGAACCAAATCAGAACATGTGAGGTTCAAACTTCAAACCATGCACGAAACACAAGGTGCTAGAAAATCTTTCGAGTTTTGATATTGTTCTCGTCCTATGAATCAGCGAAGGCCCAGATTCGCTGAATCCTAAGCTGGGAAAAAGGGACCCATGACGTTTCCCATATGATTTCACGTGACCGGTCGTGAGTTTGACAACTGTTCATTGGAGGTTTCTAGATAGGCCTCACACGTCTGCATCGTGGGCTTGACCACTTATCTCAAAGCCCCGCTCACGTGCCATCGATAGACACGTGACTTAGAGCTCCAATGGGTAAGTGAATATTTTATTTAATAGTTACATTACGCTATTATTGTTATGTAAAATAGTTAATAAGTAATTATTACTCATGCGTGAAGATACAAAATAATTAAAAAAATTATTAATCATAAAAATATTTGTATTCAGATCAAAAATTAAATCACAAATATAGAGAAAAAAAAAATAATTTAAACACCGGTTGTAATGAGAGTGAACAGTGTGTAGTGGTGGTTGGAGATGATGATGGTTATAGTGGACGATGACGACCATGGTATTGGTGATAGCTGTGAGTGACAACAGTGATTGTGAATTTTGGGTGACAATGATAATAGTGACAGTTATGGGTGACGACGGTGATGGTGGGGCGATGATGGTGATGGGTTCGGGTGGTCGACGATGGTGGTAGGTTCTTGGAAAAAAAAAAAATCTTCTTGGATTGTGAAATGTGTGATTTTAGCCATTGTCACATATATTTTTGAGGTGCAGATTTCAGGCCATTGGGCACCATGATGTCCATCATTCAATTTTGTAAACCTTTACTTTTCTTTTATGAACATGCAAAGATCTATTTTTTTAAAAAAAAAAAAACATGCAAAGATAGAACAACTAAAGTTTTATTATTTTACTTAACATCATGCTGTAATCACAAGAATAAAAAAAACACACAAAGTTCAATTCCAAACACTACTTTCAAAAGGGTCTCATAATTAGGTGAGAGCTAATCAATAAATTTAAATATCCTGTCACAAATTTATGGGGATTTCGTATCTTTTTTTTTCTCTTCATGAACATGCAAATATAGAACGAGAAATACTAGACTGATTAAAAAATAGATAAAAACAAAGACCAAATGACGTCGCATTATCATATTATTTGGTCCTGTTTTTTGTTTTAGTTAATTTAACATTACTTATATAGAACACCTAAGTATCATCTTGCAGTAAAAAAAACCTAATTTTGTAACCTTTTCACATTGGAGTTGGATGCAACTTGATGGAGTTTATCCTGGATCAAACTGAGGCTCAACCCGTTTCGTATTGAATTCCTGATAAATTGGGCTTCGGTTGGGCTGTTGATTTTCTTTAAGACTGCAAAGCTATGATACTATTGGGCGTAATCAAAGCCCATTATAGACTTTTCAAAGCCCCAATTTTAATCTTCTTCTCCATGTATATTTGGAATTGCAAAACCCTATTTCTCCCTCATCCCTTTCTCGCTCTCGGCGATTGAAATCGAAAAATCCGGTAAGTTCTTTCGCACTCAATAATGATTTTTTACTCTCTTTTGTTGTTGATGTTGTTGTTAGCGTTTCATATTTGTGTATGTGTGTGTATACAAGGGTGGCCCAACACAAATTGAGGCCTAAAGTAAGAATTTTATAAGAAATTTTATTTAATATTTTAGGAAGATAATAATTTTTTAATAAGTATTAGGCATTTTACAAAAAGTTGCGAAATGATTTGTTTTTAGGAGTTTTGAGATCGGGTGGAATCAAACAATAAATTAGGTGCAATTGTAAAGTCAAGATGTTATACATTAATAAATTGAACGAAAACTTAAAGTGACAACAAGAAAATTAAAGATAATGACAAAGAACCATAGCAAGACAATAAGGCTAGGAGAGAGCGAAAGAGTTGAAGAGAGGCGATAAGAGGCAAGGAAAAAAATAGTGAAAAGAATCAAAAAGGCTTGTAACTTTTATAACTAGAAGTCAATATTTTTATATTTTTTTAGACGAATTTGTTATATTTTAAGACTTTCTATAAGGTTTACATAGACTTGTGAAATTGTTATATTTTAGAACTATTTATAAGATTTTAGATAGACTTGTGAAACATATTGGACCTTTAACTTTGTTAATTCAAAAAGGTCTCATAACATAAAGTTGAACTAAATTTTGAAAATTAAAATGGGCCATAAATTTTTTAGTCTCTAAGTAACTATTTTAATGGTTGGGCCCTATGGCCAACCTTGTTGTGGCTTAGTCTCTACTCATCCCTCATTGTAGAGTTTTTATCTATGAAACCAATTAAGTAAAACAAATTGATTATTAGATGATATACAAGGATTAAATATAATATATGTGTTATTTTATATTTTTTGTATTTTTTTAATTTTTCAAATTATGTGTAGATCGTTATAAGGTACTGTCATAATAAAGATGTTCAATATTACAACGTGGTGTCACATAATTTTTTTTTTTTTAGTAATTTAGGCATTTAAGATATATTAAATATTACATATGTATTATTTGATGCACATACTATATGCGTACAACTGTTTAATAGTATAATTCATAAGAATTGTAAATATATATAAATCATCTTGACTAACAACACATTTTTTTAGTAAATAAATCTGCACATCTGTTTATCTTTCTTTTCTCTTGCTTGACCTGCATTTTTTGGGATACAATCTATTATTTCATAACTATTTTTATTTTTTTATATGTTATTCATAAAAATTGTAATATTACATGATCGATTATTAGTATACATGTGTAATTCCTTGTTATTGAATTATTTTATTATTTTTTTATGATCCTTAATTTGTTTATGTATACAACGTTCACCTACTATTTTATTAATTTTTTTCCTAATAATAACTTTATTGAATTTTTTTCTTGAAGTTAATTACTTTTTATTGTGGATCTTTTATGAAAATAAACAATTTAATTAATTGGTGTTTTTATATTTAAATGGGAACAAAATCAAGTTTAAGAAAAATAGAAAATATGTTTGATTTATTTTTATTTATAAAAGAGATATACTCATTATATTTTTTTATTCAAGTGGTAACCCTTTTTTTTGTCATTTAAAATGTGTATGTGTGAGATGTACTACACTTTTCGACCTAAATTTTAAATTTTATTTTGTTGATGTTCAAATTTTCCCATATCCGACCAATTTCAACCCTACCCAACCTGATTGTTTGGCTTCCGTAAAAATGGGTCAACTGATGAAAGAATTTTTGGTTTTTCAAGTATGAATGTGAAAATACCCACAAAAAAATTTGCATTTTCATCCGACCCGACTCGACCCACATGTATAATTTTTTTAAAAAAATATAGTAAAACCCACCATCAGTCAATTGATCCCTAGCGCCTCCTCCTCTTCGAATCTCAGAGACTCTCGCCGCCTTCTCTTCGAAGCCACACGCCACACGCATCCCAGGTTCTCTATCTCTCTCTCTTTCTGTATGACAGTCTATGTGTGAGTCTTAATTCCTTTTGTTTCTCTGAAATTGAAATCATATGATGAAAGTTGCAGTAGTTTTTTTTGTTAAACTAAATTATAATGAGTTTTAATCATTGATTTATATCTCATTATTGAACTCTAAAATTTGAGGCCTTTTCATGTGTATATATGTGGGCGCTTATGTAGATTCAGTAGGTTCTATATGTTTGATTAAATGCGGCAAAGACATATACTGTAATACCTGACCAGTTGAAGTTAAAAATGATCGTCATAAGTTGGCCTGTGTGTGGTGAAGTCAATTTTGTATGGACTGTTTGAAGTTTGATAGAAAATAAGAAAACTACAGCAATATGTTTTCAAACCCGCTCAGTCAGTTTGGCTTTCGAATGAATCGGACAACAGAGTTAGTCGAGACCTGGTCCAGACCAGTTAGATTCCTGCTGTAGTTGCATGATAGTGTAGGTTTATTTGATCAAAAAAAAGCGAAAGAGTTCTGATATACGGGACCGCATCAAAGATGCTCAAAAAGGTTGAGATTTATGGAATTATGTAACCTAGTTACTTGAGATTTGATATTATTTCTTAGTATTGTTTTTATCACAGGTTTTTGCTAAAACTTACAGTTTATCATCCCATTAAATGGTTTAATTCGTAATGCTAAATTTCCTTCTCTTTATTGCAAAACATTTTTCCAAATTCCTCCCCCTCCCCCTAACACACAACCCCAAAAAAAGTGTTGTAGTCACTGCCACAGTAGTGTGTGAATTCCAAACTTGTTGTGTATGTGGAGGATTCGAAAGCAAAACAAAGCAAGTTGCACATTTTTGACTAATAACTAAAAGCCTGGAAGCAATGCCAAGGTGGTTTTTTTCCAGGTTTTGTTCAACCTCTTTATTTCTATTACAGTAGTTAGCTTCACTAGAAATCTTATAAACAGAGATTTTTGTTTACCTCAAGACCTAAGTTTATTGATTACTCGTGAAGGATTATACTGTACTTCATAAAGAAAGTGGAGCCAGGTCATAGCTGAAGAGATGCAAACACAAGAAGTTGGCAAAAGCCCAAAGAAGAGGAAGGTAGGACACAAGAAAGGTAGTAAGACAAAGAAGAAATTGAAAATGTTACAGGGTAATGGAGAGGAAAAGGTTAGAATAAACCAAAAAATGAAAAAGTTATTCCGCAAAAGGGTGAGAGACTACAATTCAGATGATGATGATGATTCTGCCCCAGTAATTGAAGATGTAAGTGGGCAGTTGAATGACAAAAAAGAAGTGTCTGATGGACACTCTTCAGATGAGGAAAGAGAAAATCATGGGGATGTTGGTGAGGAAAATGAAGTTTCTGAAGACGACGAAATTGTAATTCAACCTGGAATAACAAAGTTCACAGAAGGTTGTAAAGCTTTCAGGATGGCATTCAAGAAAATCACTAAAACGAGTGTTTCCGATGATGTATTGGTAAGCTAATTGATATGTGATCTTTTGTTTGATGCAATTGAACTTGAATAATATAATATTCAAAAAGAAAGTATTAGTTGTATACATGCAACATCTTTGCAGGGTCCTGTATTATCAGCACACAAGAAGCTTGTGGTAGAGAAGCTAGCTGAAGAAGATGTAAAACGGAAGGTGAAGGGGGAGGCAAAGAAAGAGAAACACTTGGTATCTCATTTTGTGCTATAGCAAATCAATATTCTATCTTCTCCCCGTTATTGCAAGTTTATTTATGTAAATTCATTTGATTTTTCTTAATCATTGAGGTAGGAGAGAAGGGACACGCGAAGCCTGCTAATTTTTTGGACTTGTATGAAAAGTTTCTAATAGGAGTTGCTACAAAAGGAGGTCCTGAATACTCTCTGTATTAGTTAAAATTTATGTGTTAAGGACAACTTTTCGCTCAATCTTTCTTTTGGCATTTCCAAACTAACTTAGATTTCCAATTTCCCATGTGTATTGCTGGGCTTTCAGTGGTCAAGTTATTTAATGCTGTAAGTAGCTCCTTAAATTTTTAGATTTTATTTTCCTTTCAATTTCATGAAAATTATCTGCAAATGTTTTCTGTTGCTGCTTCAAAAAACCAGCTGGATTCTCTTTTACAGGTCAACAAGTCACAAAATGCTCAGAAAGGATTAAATCCTTCAAGGTCTAATGATGCAAAAGGTATGAAATACAACATTTTCTACTGGACAACCCCTCATCATATCTCCATGTATTGTGGTATTCACCATCTCATTTATGCTCACATGCTTTTGCCTTTATGACACAAGCATTTTTAGATTATCAAGATGCTTATAAGCATCAAGAGATTCCATTGGTCATTCCTAAGGATCAAAATTTTGTTTTGGGGCATAGCTCCGGTCAGAATGGGAAATAGCTAACTACCAAAGTTTTACGGTATTATGTATACGTGCAATGATTATCATGAACATTTTGAACAACTTATAGTCGGTTGTACAGTGACCATTAGTGTTGTGGTCACCGTCTCATGTTATTTACACCACTTGGGGTGCGTGGTTATGTAGCTGAGGTGGAGACAAACAAGGGGACAGTGGTCAAATGACATCAAATAAAGGCACACTGCATTTATAGGGAAACGTATAGCCAGATACTCGGCAGGCCAAATATCCATATGGGATTCCTTACTGTATCATGGCGTCAGATTTTAAAATTATCATGAGGGCCTCCCTGGAAGGCCTTCCAGAGCCTGCTGGATAGTTTAGTTGATTGTGTCATTTCCCTACACAACCTGACACCTCATGTGCCAAATCAAAGGGTTGTTATAACCCTTAGCACATAGGAGGGGATAAGAGTCAGCAAGCTACACTGGCCGGGGTGGGGGAGGGTGTCCCTATTTTGATGGGTTACCATATAGGAGGGGATAAGAGTCAGCAAGCTACTGTGCTTCGCTTTTTTTGAATTTCCAATTCTTTCTTTTCGTTCTACTCATAACTGTGAGAGTGCTAGGGAGGGTGGACTTTGTCTCTGAACCACAGATATCACGTCTATCAGTTCCAAATTATTCTGTAGATCATTAAATGCCCATGCCCAAACTTTTAAGAGCTTTGGCAGACCATATTATCTAGAAACATAGATAGCTCAGAAGCTTAAAAAGTTTAGAAATCAAAAAAGTAAACTAGAATTACTCAAGTTGCCTTCATGAGAATGAGGACATCCAAATTTGATGTTTTTAAGTGACATTTTTTCATTCTCTGGCTTTTCCTCTCATATGCTTGGAAAACATAAGATCAGATAATTATTAGACCCTCGTAAATTGTTTGATTCCCAATCTGGGATGTTTCCACCATCCCCCTACATTCTTCAAACTTTGGCATCATAAGGATTCTATATGGCCCTTTGCTTTACATCATCCGATTCTTTGAAGCAGCAATGTGTGCATGATTCCATTGTAATTGATTCATCTATCCTACCTGCCATTGTCATAGTGTTCAATTCTAACTGTGGTGACATATGATGTCTTAAATCTGCCAGCTATAAGGAAGCAAAGGAAAGAGGCCTTTTTCTCCGAGTTAGGCAACACATCCCAATTTACTCGCGCACCTGCTAAGGTTTGCTTTCTCTCTGTCTCTCTCTCTCGTGTGTACATTCTGCTGCATGTTTCCAGGTGTTGTACCACACCAAAAGTACAAAATAAAGATGATAGTACGATTCAATCTAGTGGTTATGGCTCTATTTGGGTCAAGTTACAACACCAAAAAGTAAAGCTAAGGTTTTAAAAAGTTAAGATCGCTCTTAAAATAATGGAATTGAGGATCGATTCTAATATTATATGATTGATCACAACCGACCCCCTTTGTTATAAACTCGCAATATTGGGATTTCACTTACCTTGATTTTGTAGTAACGTTACCAAAAAGTCTCGCTTCATTATCTTTCCCTTAACTTGCGTGGTTGACCTTTTAGTGAGCTGGGAAACATGGCCTCTATGTCTATAGGTTCCAGATATGTAAATTTCTTATTCCATGGTTTTATGTACAGATTGCTGCATCTACAGGCCCAGCGGATGGTGAAGGTCCTGCATGGGCTCCATTACGTGATAATTACATGCTAACAAATTCTATGTTAAAGGACTGGGATAAGATGCCGGTAAGAATTTTTCATTCATATCTTGATATTTGTTCTGTACCTGCACCCTTTTGTCAACCCACCCCTTTCTCGTTTTCTTCCTGATGTGTGTCGGAAAATTTTATAAAATCAAATTGTGCATGTAGGATACAAGGGTAGCAGATGACTTTGGGATGCCAGCTGATAGTTCATCTGATGATGACTAATATCATGGAACGTCATCAATAGCACAAGTCAAACAATTGTTTGTCAGGCTAGTTTTCTTCAGCCTGGCGAAGTCGAAACTCTCGTGCTTTGTCATTACAATGTAGAAAATCCTCCCCCCCGCCCCTTTCTCCTCCTTATGCTTTGTATTTCACACTGGTACTCAAGTCCAATCTAAATATTTTTTTCTCCATTATTCTTGGTTTAAAATCTCGTATTCCATGTTATGTTGGAGTGCTTGTTGTACGGGTAATTTTTGCACTATCACTAAAATGTTGAAAGTGTAGCCTTAGTTTTTGAATATTGTCCGGTTCGTAAAAAATTGTCCTGGTCTCTTACATAACTAATTGTATAGTTTTTTACCAATAGTTGTCGTTTTTAGTTTTAGGCCATTCCCCTAGAGTCTTGTGCCATCAATTGCAGTCAGCTTGGTCAGATGATATGACCCATCACATGTAATGTTGTGGGTTTTATTTTCAGCAATGTTCGATATCCATCCAAAATGATCCACATTTTTTCCAATTTTTTTGAATCGATAAAACAGTAATTACCACAATAAAAAGTTCATCCACGATTTATATAATAGGATTATTACAGATTGATGTCCCTTCTCAGCTGTGTAAACATTATTTCTGATGTACATGTCATCAGTAAAAAGAAAATCAGGAAAAAAGTTTTTCCGACCACATCTCGTCACCCATCATGCCTCCGAAAGGCTTAAGAACCGATCCTATGTATTCATGACAACAACAAAATGATATGTTACAACTAGAATCTTCATATCTTGGCTGCTAATCAAATTTTCGTCCCACCATTCCAACATCCCCAGTGTATGATGCGATTAGGAGCAGGAAGAAACAGAAGATATGAAGTTGATAGAATAAACACCCACATTAATGAAGGACCATGGAGGTTGATGGATGCTCATTCTCTCGAAAAGGTCGACGTTTTGAATTTGTCCCGTGTAACAGAGAGAGGAATTTGGCTTGCTGCTCTTGAGCAGCGTAAATTTACATTGTCAGTTTATGTTACGATCCATCTTTTCTTTTCTGATGATGGATCAAAGAACTTCTTGTATTGAATTTCAGCAGTGATGCTGTGGAATCAGCTTTCCACATCCACCTTTATCCATTGAACACAACCCAGACCCTGGTGATACAATCAGACAATATGTCATTTGAGTAAAAAGCATCCAGTAATCCGGTTTCAGATTTGATCATCTCTTTCTTCATGCATAATAACGAACTGCATTCTCAACAGCTTCGAGTCTTACTCAGTGGGTCGTAGTCATAAACATCACCAGCCTTGACAAAGCGTCCCTTCACCCGCTTTCTTACATCAGCTCTAGCCTTGCGAGAGGCATACCTCACTTTTTTCTCAAATCTATAGAGTTAATATCAAGACGACAGTTAAAGAAGGGAGATTAAGAAGAAAAATATGGACAAAGTACAACTTTCACTTATTGTAAAGCTGATAACGACCCTATAAGTAGTTGGAAATTCAACCCCACTGAGAAAAACCAATCCCAAAGGCATTGATCTTACAAAGAGAAAAAATAAGAGTGATGAAAACAATTGATTCCAATGACTCCACATTCCACACTAATGAGTTTATTAAAATAACTTACTTGCGCGCCTTTTTCTTTTCCTTATAACGCAAAACAGCACTACTCCTGCTAGTTGAAGGGAAGGAACTTTCAGGACAAGGGGGACACCATGGAGGCTCTCCCATGAGAAGCATTGAAGAAGCTCCACAATCTTGATATTCTCCCGTACTACTCTCAGTGAGGCCAGAAAATGAAAGAGTGGAGTGGGCTTGCCTAGGAAAACAGAGGTTTGGTTCTGTCTTACAGCTCATCATGGAATCAGCAGATGCTGCATTGCTGCATGCTCGCTGCATTGCATTTATTCGTCCAATTGACGAGCCCTGAGTATGAATTTATAAGACTAACTATAAGTGTACTATACAATCAAGTATAAACTCAGAAAAGACCCCTAAAAATTGGGTCCTGGCAATGCAGAAAAATAATAAGCAGCCTTATTCAAACATTTGAACGTATCTACTTCGGTGACATACAGTGCAGGTACAAAATGTTGGCAAGCACGTATATAATGTTCATACCATAAAAAGAGCTGTTTTAAAGTCACTTTGACAAAAAAACAAGGGGCACTTATGTCCAGAACATGATGGTTCATCCAAGTATTCATGAAAGGTACTGGGGTATCCATGCAAAAAATTAAACCATCATTTCAATTATATATGTAAAACTAAATCACTCCATGTGAGTGATTGTAGTTGTGATATATTCACCAATATGAAAGAACTGGTTCTTCATAAAAAAAAAAAAACCCACAAGCAAATAACAGGGATAGCATATAACTTAGCAAAGACTTTGTCTAAACCTTTTTGGTTTAGGGTACATTCAAGGGCTGCCCACAGGTAGTGATCATTTAAAGCCGTAGGGGCCTGGAGCCAACATTTAATACCTCAGCCATCAATTTCTGGCTTTTTCTTTTTCTTTTTTCCTGATAAGTATTTCAGGTTTTCTAGTTTCTGTCTCTGTTCATGTAATTCTTTCACAAGTTTTTTAGGGAAATGGAGGTAAAGCTATACAATTCTTCGAAACTCCAATGCACCTGGATTTGGTCATATCTGTTCCAGGGCAGGTATTGTCTTGGAGCTTATTTAGAGAAGACCAGAACTTTTTTTTGGGGGAAGTAAGAGTTCAATTGACATAATAGAGGGTGCGCCTTGGCATCAAGGTTCGAGTCATGGAAACACCCTTTCCCCATGCGAGAAAAAGTTGCGTACATCCGACATTCCCAAACCCTACAATGGTAGAAGCCTCATGCACTGGGACGTCCTTTTTGTTCCATCAACACATTATTTAATGATGGGGAATGGGAGAAGTGTCAGGGTGGGCTTTTCCAGTTTCTGTTGCAGTCATTAAAGATGATCAACACGATAAATCTACTAGGAGTTCAAAAGTATCCAGAAAAATAGGGTTTACATCTTTCCATTTACAGTCAAGAATTTTACTATTGTCAAAGGATCATAAGCACAAAGATCAAGCTATGTAAAATGAAGTGAACAAACATCATGCGCTTCTGATCCAAATAAAACACACAGTGCACATAATCTACATAATAGTTTAAAAGTAAACAACAACTTGCCGGCTCCTGAGAATGTGATCCGACAACAGGAGCTTAAATATGCTAACTCCATCAATAACATTTCATTTAACGGAAAATTTGGTGGATGAGAAAGAGGGCAAAGTCTGTTGACAAAATTCCTTTTTGTTAAGATCGGTATTGAAAACCTAACATAAAGACAAGACAGACAAAGCACAAACACCTCAACACAGAAGAACATTATAGCTGACAATGATAGGAAAATAAACATAAAGCAATCGAAAATAATGAGAGAGAACCTGGGTAACATATGCACCCTGACAGTTTGAATCGGCACCAGACATGTCCTTCATACCAAACAAGCTATCTATCCCATCATTCTCAAAAAGCTGTTCCCAATTATTAAGAGTTACACCAAAAAGTTCTTTATAGTTCTCAATGTTTAAGTCAACTTCATCCATATTAAAGTCCTCATAAAAATCATCATCTTCACATGGTCCAGGCCCTTTAGTTCCAGAACAGCAAAGCTGCACATTGATAGGATAAAAATGTACATTTATTCTCAGAAAGTAAGGAAAAGGAAACATGTGAGCATCTAGAAAATTATATAATCCAATAAACTAAAACTAAGAACACAAATTTTCAATTTTTGCTTATATGCATGCTAATCTACACTGACAATCAGCAAATTATTAGAACATTTGAGCTTGGTGAATTGCAGAACTGCATGGCTATGATTATAAATGACATACGAGAATTTACATCATGCAAAGCTTAAATTTACATACCAATAATTATAAAAACATTCGAAAATTAAATTTAAAGGACAATATGTAATTACAATTGTAGGGCTGTGGTGGTGCACCCATGGAGGCTTAGGACCATGATAAAGGAAAGATTACTAATTGATGGAGTAAGATGACAAAGAACACAAAAATGATTGAAGATTGGACATGTTATGCTTTAGCAAACATATGTAAGAATAAAGGAAGCTGACCCACTATTATCGCACTGAAATCAGAATTCCTATTATGAAACTTTGAAACTGAATGAGAATAAAGAACAAAAATATGAAACGAAGGTTTTAGAGAACCAATATCAGTTATATGTCATCTTTACTCAGACTATTTATGGATATGGTTGGGGAAATGCTGAACGACTTTATGTAATAAATATTCACTTCCAAAAGCAACCAAAAAAACACTAGTACCCACAGAAGCTTAATGTCGTGGATCTCGCAAAAGAAGGGTACCAATTAACAAGCCTGAGAACATTTACTAAGAGAGGGTTTTTTACTCACATAGGCCTAGATACAAACTACACATTGTTGAGAGCCACACAGGATACTGTAAGGTAACTAATTGTCTGCACCAAGAAGACCTTGTATTCTCCAATGTATTTATCATGATCATGCAAATTCTGATAGGGTTGTTTAAGCCAAGATATATAGAGAAAGTGACTTGAAGAATAAACAAAAAGGAAAAATTCAAGGTCTATTCTCGATAGGCCACCTAGGAGGTTAGTGACATATGGTTCACAGATGACTTGTTCATTCATGGTTCAAGATTGCCAAGGCTGCTACACTTAATGGCATGCATCTTAAATTTGAGAAAATTGTTAAACTTGAGGCCAAAATGGCTAGTTTAATTATCTCTGCAGGACCTGATGAGATTAGTCAAACCAACTGCTCAGTTCATTGGCTTTGAAGGAAGGTAAGTTCTCTTTGAAATAGCCTCAGGCACTAGGGTGGCTCTTAAGTTTTCTAATATCAAGTGTACAGAACCCAATGAAGCAAAGATTTAGTGTTCAACATAATTTTCTCCCTTGCTTAAAAGTTACAAACAGGCAAGTCATTCAATGATTTCGATATTATTGCCGTCTTGTTTATCGCCTAAAAGGGAAATTAGATGGTCTCCAGATGAAATAAAGAAAAAGAGAAGCCAAATTTTCCTCAAATAGCCTCCGGAGTCAAACTAAAGAAGGGCTGGCAAAAAAGGATAGAATATGGAATGAGGCCTCTAAAACATATCTTTTTAGGGTGCCTATCTCTAAAAGGAATACATATAGGTGGTTTGGGTCAATAAGTGCTGGTTAGCGGAAACAAGTTTCTCTAGAATTCCTATCCCCAGTGGATCTCCTGACTGTGGACAAGGATATTTGAGACCTAAGAATAGCTTTTCTGCACCATGCTATTGCGGATGGGCTGGATGGAAAACTCTGTTTCTATAGGTTCAGAATAGGCATAACCGTGCTCTGGTGTTCAGCTAGCTGAATCTAGTAATCGCATATAACTGCTTATAACATATGTCATGATAGGTTCTACCACATCCCAAAAGGCTTGGCATCCTGCAAGAACCACTACTGGTCTAGGAGGACTAATACGAAAAGCCATCCTGCTCTTGTTTCTGAAGTAAATGAAACAGAATATGATGTTTCACAGCCTTCCCCTAACAAGAAGCTTTTGCAAGTTGGGCATGTAGAGCTTTGCAAGATCCTTTGCCACTAGTTAATTAGGCTCATTTGCCATGGGCAACCTAATCAATCTTAATTTCTATATGTGACTGGGTAATAGATATCCGCTTTCTACTCAAAGACAGCTTGATCGAAAAGGTATCATAGTTGTTCCGCCTGTGGACTCTATTATAATTACAGGAAGCTGAATCCATGACACTTTTTTTGGAATCACAGTTTCAATGAATACCTCTAGGAGAATACCTGCAAGTCAAGAATGTGGATCAAACTATTCAACCAGTGAGCTTGAAGGTTCAAAGAAAAACTTCTTTAAGATGGTTGAAATGGTGGATTCTGGTGCCATCTTTGGATTAGGAAAAACTCAAGACATCTAAGAAAAACTCTAGGAAAGCATGAGACATCCTTCTGCCTGGAGTATTTCCAGATTGGAGTCTCATTAGTTTATCGGTAGAGATATACCGGTGATAAATGTCTTCGTATTGAAAAAGTCCTTTAGCTAGGGGCACTTGGGATCAACTACATGCTTTCTTTAGTAAGATGCTTAGAGTAATGGACGGCTTCTCTCCATGTTCAGTAGTTTTGCTAGTTAGGTGTGATTTTTTGGCTAGGTTTTGAGTTAGGCTTTTTCTTGAAATTCCATTCAGTGTCCAGAAAATGCCCCTTGGCCTCCTGGGATTTAGGTTTGGCAACCTTGTAAGTATACATATTGTGATCTCTTTTTCTTTTTCTTTCTTTTTTTCAAATAAGCATACATATGTAATCTATGAATCTAAGAGTAGAGGTTTGGTGGCCAAGGGCGTAAATTGTAATTTGGTTTTTAATATCCATAAACAGACTCTAGTAAGGGTGGCTCCTAATGCATATGATGGAATGTAAAAGAATCTAAACACACTTAAAAGGTTGACAATGCTTGATAGAATGAAGTGCACGGTTTTGTATAACATGTGCGTAAGTGTACTTAACACGAGAATGTAAATTAAGTCGAGTCACACGACGATGCAACCCAAATAATGGTCTCAGTCTTGGTAACAAAATGTATATATTCACCCAAGTCTCCCAAAATATGAAAACAATCACTAGGGTCCTAATCTCCTGCATGTCAAGAAAGTTCATAACAGGCTTTAATACGAGTCGTAGTTACACAATCAAGATGTAGGGGCATTAGGGATCTAATTGGTAATTTTGTTTAGCATAATATCACAAAAATCTTCAGTTACCTTTGGTGAGACAGAATTTGTGGATCCCATTGTTTGGTCTATATTATGTAGCCTGGTGTCAAGTTGAGGCACTGAGGATGAACCCATGACACATGTCCAAACTTTTGAGTTATCGGCATTCTGAAAGTCACTCCCTTCAACTGCGACAGACATATCTTGATTGTTATTATTCCCTGAGGCACCTTGGGAGTTCCTCGGACAGTTATCATTGATGCTCATTGCACCCATTCCCTGCTCACAAGCAGAATCACCAACAGAAGGGGAATCTAAAAGAAATGACCAAATAGTAGAAAGTTCTGAAGCCGAAGGGCAACCAGAATAACAATTAAGTGGTTCCCTTTTATGTGTGGAACCCGAGTTAGATCCATCGTGCCCACTCCAATCGCAGTTCGGACAAAGAGATATCTTCTCTTCGACACATCTGACAAATGCGGGTTGTGAACTGCATCTTTCACACAATAGTGTCCTTGAATGGCGTCGTGAAAGAGCATTTGCAGAGTGGACATTGCAGTCACAAGACAAACATAGACAGGCTGCATCAGATCGACAGTACACCATAGACCTTTGTGCTCCACAGAAATCACAAGTGTAACCCATGTTTTAATTAGCTCTTCTTCTCAGATCAAAACTTTACCCCGCAACAGACAAAAGTGCTACAACTTTATCCTGACAATATATATCAACTCAAATGCACATGAACCACCGTTTCACAAGCAGAAACTCAAACACGGAAGGACAATCCCGTATCGATTTTCGTTATAGAGGTACATCAATCTGCATTAAACAAATCAAAATGCCAAAAAATTAAGAAACTGGTATTTTTCTCCAATTGAGTACAAATACATGATTTATTGGTCTAAATTATGCAAGGGTCATTCAAGAATAAAATTGAGCATCACGACCAGTGAAACTAAAGGGGTTGTTTCAATAGAACACAAGAACTCAAAAACAGATCTTGGCACAAAAATGTTTCTTCTAAAAAAGGACACATTTTCCGAGTCGAAACGATAGAGATTCCAAATGGATAACAATGAGAAAAAAAAAATAAAGATGAAATGTGTTCCAACATGTAGAGCATCTAGAATCCAAACAACAAGTGAACAATCTCAAACAATTAACGAGGAAGTCACTACCCAATATGTTCCAATCGAAGCACAAACTCATATTCTGCAAATCAAAATTCTCAATAAAGTAAATACCTGAATAAGAAGAAGAATACCCAATCACCATTATCAGGAGAGAGATTCATATAATTTCAGGCTGAGAACTTTCAGAAAATATAAAGATCATAATAGACCTCTATAACTAGCAGATATAGAGGTCTGAGAAATTCTTGAAAAGAACATCAATATTTTTCCATCCACAAACAGATCATCAAGCAAAGAAACAAAGAAAAGCAACCCACAAAACAAAATCAAAATCTACCCATTTTTATACAGCTGCAAGGGAAAATTCCGAAAATTACACTCGCCTAACCTAGCCGAGAAGGTGGGAGCTTACTGGGGAAAGTACAGAGCTGTCGAAACCCAGAGAAAGAGAGAAACCTAACAGATAAAAGATCGACTTTTCCAGAGTCTCTCTTTCGCTCTATCTATATGTGTGTGTTGTGTGAGAATTGAAAGGTGGTGCTGGTCTTAGAAGTCTTTTGCATTGTATGGATTATGACAATAATAATAATGAACTGATAAAAAGTGCAAGGAGAGAGAATGGGAGAAAAGGCAGAGTGGGGCCTTGAGGTGGGACCCTGTCACTTTCGTGAAATGAAAAAGTTAGGCACCATCTTGCCCTTGCACTGGGGTCCCACATCAAAAAGGTTCTCACGTTTTCCATTATTATAATCCGCTAAAGTTTGGATTTTATTATGTCTGATTTTCTCTATCGTAAAATACAAAGAATTTCCAAACCAAAAAACATATTTTTATCTCACTTTGATTCGATGCCCGAGTTTAGCTTCTGATTTCTTTTTCTTGCCAAATATTTTTCTCATTTTTTTTTACGAGGCGTTCAAATTTAAGTCAAGTACATCCTCAAGATCGACCGTTTTAATTCAAACTAATTTTAAGAACATGTAAAACAAGTATGATCGACATTAGCACAAGAAATATCAAATTTTCTTTATTTATGCCTTTATACCCTCCATCCCTCTCTCTTTCTCTATGTTTTTTTCTCTCCATCTCTCTTCGGCGACAATGGCCACATCCCCCACTGTTAGACTAGTGCTCACAGCTCGGGCAATGCAAGCCAACGCCTTTGCTCCTCTATCTCGTTCTCCCAGGATCCACCACAGTAGTCCCACCTGCAAAAACCACACCATCATCCATATACCTAGCTACACCTTAGCGCTTCCACCCACCTTTTCCTTTTGCGCTCTCCAGATTCTCCTATTTCTATCGCTAAGGTCAAGGATCCTCCTTCGATTACTACCCCAAAACCATCATCCAACCATCTCTAGTCACCAACAACTGCTCAATAACAATGTGTTGTTAGGGTTTTTCAAATATTGCAAAATTGTAAATAATTAATAAATTGATTCGATTGTAGATCAGGAACTGTCATTGAATTTTATGTAGATCAAAGCTAGTGTTTAATACCGTCTCTTTAAAACAAATTTTGCCCCCACACTTGGTATTTATGAAAATCAAAGTGTTTGTCTTCCAATATACAATGATCTTCACGCGTTTAAAAATATCACTTCAATTGAAATGGGCAGCGAAACAAAATTATGTGTTATATTTTTCGTAAATACAAACTACTAATATCCGAAAGTATGAATGTAATGATTGTCTAATGACAAATTTTGTTAATGCATAATGGTTATAAATTTAGGTACTTTATAGATAGAATGGTGACTGATTCGGACAATCACCATGCGAACAGATGTAACCCAAAAGAATTTAAATTAAATTCGAATATGTGCAAAATTTGAATTCCAATGGGCATCAAAAATTAAATTTCGGGTTAAAAATTCAAACCCAATTCATTAAAAGAATTTTTTGCAAAAAAATAAGATTGAGTCTAAACCACACTCACACCCACAACTGAACTTGGACGAGTCGTGACGAGACGGGTGGTGCGTATCTGTGGTTGAATTGAAGTCCATGTAGGTGCTCGATGCACTCACAAAAGTATGGTATTCCTTGGAGCCTAATCCACATAGCAAACTTAGTATATATAAGCATAAGTTAAATTTCTTCCTCAACGGAGTGAGATTGGTCTTAAATTTCACATTACATAATTTTTATTTCCATAATTCAAATGACTCACTTTAAAACCTATCTTTTCATGTATTTCTTATTTAATTTGAACAAATAAATATATACGTTATTCTCCTCACATAATATATATATATATATATATATCTATTAAAAAGGAGAATTTATTAATTGAAATTCAACAATTACAAGAATCAAAATCAGCAACTATTTTAAGAAAAAACAGTAACCGTTTTAACAAAAAAAAAAAAACTGTTACAATGGCAAAACAATAATTTCCTGTACATTTGTATTTGGTCCTCAAAGCACAACTTCTGTCCCTTTACCACACAACTTCTGTCCCTTTGCCACAGCTCAATTCCTGGACCTTTAGACCTCCCCCATTCTTCTTTGAATATAAACTCATAAAAGTTTATTCGAAATGATAAATAAATTTTATTTTAATTTAAACTCAAAGTTAATCAAAAATTCAAATTTTAAGTTATAAAAACTATTTTTGTCCAACACAATTCACAACCGCTTGACATACATAAACAAACGCCACCAATAGTCATCGATACTAGTGTTTTAAAACTCGGCTCGGACCGACGGGTCAATCCGGTGAACCGGTCCCCTAACTGGGCTGGTTTTATTAAAAGACCGTTTATGTAAGGAACTCGAGACAAACCCGTTAAACCGGTTAAAAATCGGTGAACCCGTGAGAACCGGATGGGTTTAGCAAATCGACCGGTTTAATTTCATTACTATAAATTTGAGATTTTTTCTTTATTTGGGTATTTTGTGTATTTTCCTTGCCCTAAATCGTTCAGACCAGACGACACAACCAATCGACTGAGCAATGCCTCCATCTCTCTCTCTCTCGATCCATCCAGTCGACTAGAGTTTCAGACTTCTTTGCCCTAAATCGAGCCATCCAGACCACCAGGCACCATCGGCTAAGCACAGCTTCACGAGGCACCGACGACTAAGTAGCGACTCCACTAGGCACCATTGACTGAGCACAGATCCACGAGGCACCAACGACTGAGTAGCGACTCCAACCAGTGAGCACAGCCTCCAGTCCAGTGACGAGGTGAGTTCCCTCTCCCCTTTTCTCTCTTGCACTCGACCTATATGTGTTATATATATATATATATGTGTGTGTGTGTGTGTGTGTTTATGTTTCTATATCTGTAGTTTGTGTGGGTGAGAGTTCTGTGATACGGTGGTTCTCTGTTTTCTTGACACATACTGTTTTTGGATTTTTTGCACCACATTGTACAACAATCAAAATGGATTTGTTCAAATTAGCTCTGTTTGATCAGTGTCATTGAATAATTTATATTGTTAAATCAGTGTCATTGAATAATTTGTATTTGTTTGGCTCTGTTTGGCTCTGTTTGTTACAACAATCAAAATGCGTTTTGATTCCTATTTCTGGAAATCTAATGTTGTTGCATTATCAGTTTGAATACATTGAAATTGTATACGTGGTTGAAGATTTTTCTTTACTTAACTTTATATGTTTGATATTATGTTTATAATTATTGTGATTTTTTAGCATATTTATTAATATTTATAATTAGTTTTAAATTTTTTATTATATTACCGGTCTGATCAGTGACCCAACGGTTGAACCAGTGATCAATCGACCTGGTTCCTTTGCCGGGTTTTAAAACACTGATCGATACGACGCATTCACGCGTCATCCCCCATAACCCCAATTTTGAGTTTAAATATTTTGACCCACAATTGAATTGTATTGATGGATTTTTAGTAATAATAAATCAAACAAAAAAAGCATTGTTCCAAAATTTAAATGAAATTTAAAAAATTATAACTAAAATACATATCATCTTTTAGATGAGTGGGTCCCATCAATTTTTTCAGTGGACTCACTCATCCCACACTCATTCAAGAGATAATATATATTTGAGTTTTAACTTTTGTATTTCATTCGGGTTATGTACCATTTTCCAAAAAAAAATTCGACCTTTGATCAAAAAAAAAAAAAAATTCGACCTTGAAATTGTGGCTTGCTGTCGTGTGGAAAAGAAAGCAAAGAAAATGTCAATAAATTCCATTTAGATCCCATAAATTTAGTGTATTTACATTTTGACCCCTTTAGTTTCAAAAACATCATTATTATACCTTAAATTTAAAAAATAATACTATAACCCCATAATTTTTTTGAAAATTCATCTTCTTCGTAGTACTTTGAGGCATCTTTTACACATTTATTAGAGCATGTGTGGGATTTATATTTATAACCAATGTTGGAAATTTCAAATGCTTAACCAAGCTCTCTATTCTCTTTCTAGCATTTCAGATAATTTTTGAAGATATATATTGTCTCGTACTCCTATCAATACTCACAAAATGTTTTTGTCACAAAATTATGTCGTGAAGTCAGTTTTTCATTTTTGAGTGCTAAAGTAGTACTCTGTCTTGCATTGTTGTAAAACCATTAAATCTACCATCCAAAGTATTTTATTTTTACTAGTAATACATTACGTGTACAAGAATAATTTTTGTACATAAAAATTAATAAAATAGATTAGGAATATATGTAACTAAATTAAACATCATCTAAAATTTACCAAACTTAATTTTTTATTAATCATATCCTATTATACGATTATAAAAATTTGGGCAAAATCCAGTTTACCCCCTTGTGGTTTGGTCGTTGTGCACATCACCTCCTTGTGATTCAAAAATCGGCACATAACCCCCTTGTGTTTTTGAACTAAAGTGCGACCGTTACTATTTCTGTCAAAAGCGACAAAAATTGTAACACACGCACTAGATTTGCAAGTATGGATGTAAAAAATTTAAATCAAAGTCGAAGCTCAATCTAAAAGTCCAAATATACCCTTGTGATCTTTCAAAAAGACATTTTTTTTATTTTCTTCTACATTTTACTGTTAGAAAAAAAAATATTAGATTTTTCATCTTCATTCTACATTTTCCCGTCTCTGTGCCTCTCCAGTTCTCGCCTCCTCCTCTTCTCTCTCTCTCTCTCTCTCTCTCTCTTGTAATTGTTCTTGTGGTTTTTGGTGGGGATGGTGGGGGTTTTTCAATGGGTTTGGGGGTGGGTTTCATGGCTGTTGGGAGTGAGTTTTCGAGATTGTTGGGAGTCGATTTTCGGGGGTTTGGGGTGGGTTTTCAGGGGGGTTTTAGGTGGGTTTCGGGGGGTTAGGGATGAGTTTCAAGTATGGCGTTGGGGTGGGAGTTTCGGTGGTGTTGGGTTGTTGTTGGTGGGGGTAGGTTTTTGGTATGGGTGGTTGGTGGTGGTGGATTTCAAGGGGTTTGGGGTGGGTTTTCAAGGAGTGTTGGGTGGGTTTCAGGGGGGTTAGGAATGAGTTTTAGGTGTGGCGTTGGGGGTGGGTGGATTGCAAGGGGTTTGGAGGGTGGATTTGTGGTGGGGTTAGGTGGTTGCTGATGGTCGGATTAAGTGGTGTGGGGTGGTTTTTCAGGTGTGGCATTGGGTGTGGGTTTTCGATATGGGTGGTTGCTAGTGGGTGGATTGCAAGGGGTTTGGGGGGTGGGTTTGTGGTGGGGTTAGGTGGTTGCTGGTGGTGGGATTAAGTGGTGTTAGGTGGTTTTTCAGAGGAGTGTTGGGTGATTTTTCAGGTGTGGCGTTGGGGTGGGGGTTTCGGTGGTGTTTGGTTGTTGTTGGTGGGGGCGGGTTTTCGATATGGGTGGTTGGTGATTGCAAAGGGTTTGAGGGATGGGTTTGTGGTGGGGTTAGGTGGTTATTGGTGGTGGGATTAAGTGGTGTTGAGTGGTTGATTTTGGGTAAAATCTCAAATATGTTTTTTATTTTTGTTTTCATAATTTTTTAAATATAAAATAATTATCAAACATGTTTTATATTTTTTAATTTTTATCACAAAAAAATAAAAACTAATTTTTTGCAACCATGATGTGATTTAGTGGTGATGACCAATGACCAATGATTCAGTGGAGAGTTGAACTGTATGTGAAGATGCATTGGGGTTGGAGAAGATGTGGTGGCAAAGTTTATTCAAATTTTAAGGAAGGCAAGGTGGTCTTTTTGCCATTACCATTAACGGTGTTAGCTACGCACTTTAGTCCAAAACACAAGGGGACTATATGCTGATTT